AACAATTCTCAAGCATGAGGAAGTTGCTCCCAGCACTTTTCGGGTTAAGGAACTTATCTCAAAGAAAACAAAATAAATTTTATAGGGGAAGAAATCCTGTATATCGTTGAACTTTTATGATCTTTGTAGTAGTACATATATGGTCCAATTTTAAACCTGTCACGTGACAAACAGCTGATGTAAGCGATGTCACTTTGGCCGAACTCAGCAGAGACCCGATATATACAAATGCAATAACCACAATTCACATTTTTAAAAACTACTGCTGTTAAAAAAATATTAAAATTGTATTCATTTTCCCTGAACAAATAAAGACGTATATTTCATGGGCGTCCTTAACCTAGCTGCGTATATATATATATATATATATATATATATATATATATATATATATATATATATATATATATATATATATATATATATATATATATATATATAATTATATATATATATATATATATATATATATATATATATATATATATATATATATATATATATATATATATATATATATATATATATATATATATATATATATATAATTAGATCTCGCTATCCTTATTTATAATATTACAGCCTTGTCAAGCATGTAGCATTTATCATTCTGCATTATAAAAAAAAATACAATGTTATACTTTTTCACATGAAAGGACTTTTTTCAAAGTGCAGGAATGCCTTATTAAGGTCAGAGGACACGTTCCTCGAATATCCGTTTTAGCATTCCTTTATAATATACCCAAAATATTTATAATTGTTATCGTTATATTTTGATTTCTAAACAATTTTTAAAATGTCTGAAAAACATAACATTTAGGCCAAAAATTGTGATATCAGCAGTTCAAGTGATTTCAGCATAGGATTATATAGGAAATATCATCCTCCGGGGTCTTGCACAAATGCCTGGTAATGTAAATCGATTTTTTGTGAGGGAACTTCCTAAAGTAGCAGTATTTCAATCTCAAAATCTTGGGAAAATATATATATTTTTGAGGAACGTGTCGTATGACCTTCAATAGTACTAAAAGCCAAATCTTATCACATTTATCAAACAATCAAAAACATTCATTTTTTAATTAAAGAAATAACTTTCTCAGAACTTAACGAATTTTTTTTTACCAAAAGTTAGAACAATAACTATTGTATTCCGGTAAAATACTCGATCTTTTACCGAATTCCACCATGGTCAGATGTACTCACTAACCGTATTGTAGTGAAAAACTTCCCAAATAAAATATTATGCATAAGCTGATTCCGATCTACGGAACACATCTTTTCTTCCAATTATGAACATGAAGGCAAGTTCTTAAACATAATAAATGAAGGTCTTTATCATATTTTAACGCAACCAAATCACATTTTTATTTTACTGAGTCTTATATATATATAATGACAATTAACACTGGTAGTCTCTGAACATATCAGACCGACCTTCACCCTGCATCATAAGTGCACGTGTAGCTGATGCATTGCTAGTGGCGGGCCTGATGATCTAGTATTAACGCATTGCACCAATTGCATTTTACTTTTGACATAGACAGCACACTATTACTTAAGAATAATGATTTAGGATTACTTTTATCATTTTACCTGTATCCGATAGATACAACTTTAAACATGTATTAAGTTTGATCTGTTTAAGATGTAAACATTGGAAGTTAGATCATACTTTTATCTATGAATACTTCATGGAAAATCGATATTCACGCTATGTATGCAACATGATTTTTTTAAATACCAAATAACAATTGCTAATTTAATACAAGTATTTGGACTGCGTAGATGTATAATATCTTACAGACCTGTTTTACACTTGCTCAAGTCTTTATGTTTTTTATTTTAATTTTTGTCCATTTTTGTATTGATTCCTCTGCCCTCTACCATGCAGTTAATTGTTATCAAACATAGTGAAAAAACACAGAATCCTTAAAACAAGACATTCTTAAACCTATAAGACCCCAACACTCTTAAGGAAGCATTTGTTCAATTACTAACATATTACAACTAGTTTAGAGTCTTACGGCGGTGGATTTCATATAAGTTATAAGGCCTGCAAGGTACAGTAACAAAAAAAATAAAAACAAAAAAATAAATAGAATGATAAAAACGACGGCATGCTAACAACCAGACACGTCTAAATCTTGTTTCAACTCTCTTAAAGAAGCATTTAGAAATTATCAAAAAGAGAGCCCTCCCCTCCCTCCAAAAAATAGAGGCTTCTTTTTTTCTTGTTTATTAATTAGAAATCTGGATTTTGTTAAATTGAATTTTGTTTTGTTTTTAAAAAAAAAAAAAAAAAAAAAAAAAAAAAAAAAAAAAAAAAACATGAATTCCTCTATTATTATCCTGTAAAGATTGAAATTATCAACAAATGAAAAAAAAAAAAATAAAAAAAAAAACTTTTATAGATTTTACTATAAATATCTGAAATGATTTCTATTACATTATGCAAAAGCTTCGTCTAACATTTTTTTTTTCTTTTTCTAAAAAAAACATGGAATATTTTTGTCGAGTCTTAGATTTTTTTTAATTCATAATTTATTTTCTTTTCTTCTTATTATTTATATATAATAGTGAGGCTTTAAGCATCCATAAAAAATCAGCAAAAGAAACATTCTGGACTTTTTAGCTTGATGAATGTTATCTCCACATATCACAAAACAAATTATTAGCAGAGCAAACATGGACTCATGAAAATGTGGATAAGTGTAAGTAAAAGCGGGTTCTTGATTATATGTCTTACAATATATCAATTTCGCAGAACTGTTAAGATGTATTATGAAGAAATCAACGGAATATAAACGTGCATAAATACATATCTTTTTAAACTAAATTAATTTTTTGTAAAGCTACTATATTATCACATGACTTTAATTTAAATTGAAATGACATTGTATACCCCGCTCTGTACGGAATTTAGTTTGGTCACTTTATTTGACAGTCACGTGATAAATGTATGTCATGTGCACTGTATGTAGGTCATAAACAAATTTCAATATTGCGAGGGCATACCGTAGTTAGAAATGAGAATTTCAATATATAGTTGTCTCTATATAACTTGTAGTGTATGGAAAGTGCTGCTGCTTTAGATAGATTTCGTATTTTATTAGTTTAAATTTCAAGTTATTTGGCTCTAGTCGAAATATGTGTGACTTTACTATGTACTTCATTTATTTGTCCCCTACCAGTGAAACCGGAGGGGACTATAGGTTTCCTCGGAGTCTGTCCGTCCGTCTGTCTGTCTGTCTGTCCGTCTGTCCCTCTGTCTGTCTGTCAGTCTGTCAAACTTGGTTTTCCGCACTTTTTTTCTAAACGCGTGTAGATATTGAGCTGATTTTTGGTATGCAAGTGTATCTTGATGAGTTACAGATCAAGTTTGAATTTCGTTCCACTTCAATGATTTTTGATGGATTTATGGCATTTTAAATTCTTAACGGGAACCAGATTACACTTGCCGGTAGGGGAATAGTTTATTTAGTTATGCTCTCGATTTCAGGAATGCAGCAGCACTTTTCAAGTTACGAAATGTTTCCGTTATCCATTTTCAAAAATGTTCAAGATCTATTAAGTGTATGCCCTTGCGAAAAGGTGATTTAATGAGGCACCTTGGCGTGAAACATGCACATCCTGTACACACACAAAAAACCGGTAGAAATAATTCAATACATTCTCTCGATAGTTTTTAAATAATGGCACTAAACAAAAGTTTCAGATTTGTATTAATGGTCTACCTCAGATTTGCAAATAATACTCCGTTCAATAAAAAAATGTGAATTTCACTGTGGAAAAATTACTTGATCTGCCTCTTACTGAACATAAAATGCGTCAAATCTTAACATGATGACGTTATGTCGACGAGTGCATTGCAGTCACTGACATGTTTATATATAGCTATGTGGGGTTAAACTAGCGACAAATATGATTGCAGTGGTAAGTTTTGTTGTAGTTCATAACTCTGATGCAGTTTAAAACCGCAAATTATTTCATTTTCTGTTGTTGTGAGGAACTGTTATAATTGTGTGATGTCACAGTAGATATTTCCCGTGTAAATTAGGCCCCGCTCCCTTTATGCAGCCTTAACAGATCTGCGTTTCATTTCTATTTTTCTCCCCATGTAACGGTACTTGTAAAGAAGAACAACATATTTCTAATTCTTAGTTTATTTGAAGTACATATCTTTTTTTTTAATACATTCAAAACAAATTGAATAAAAATGTAAAAATTGTAATAAAAATGTATAATTTCAACATATTTTTCCCGAGGTGTTATTTAAACTCGAAATTGATAGATTATAAAGAGCAATATATATATATATATATATATATATATATATATATATATATATATATATATATATATATATATATATATATATATATATAATTTCTTCTATAAACATTGGTACAGCGGACTGATACGTTTAAACCTTTTTCTATTGATAAAATTGAAGTATCTATCAATTTCTTTTCTACATCTGTAGAGATAAAACAAATACAAAATTTTAAAATAAATTAGATCATCAATAAAACTTAACCTTCGATTCCTCATTTATCTGTCACGGTAGCTCAGTCGGTAGGCCACTAGCCTCGAAAGGCCCTGAGTTTGAATCTTGTCCGCGACTGACTTAAGTCGATAAAAAAAAAGGTATCAACTGTTTCTTCGCCATGCGCTCGGCACTTTGAAGTGAAAGTTGCGGGTCCTTTGGATGAGACCTTAAAAACCTAGGCCCCGAAATCACGACAGGCGTTGGCACGATAAAGATCCCTCAATTCTCAATGGCCCTGAGTGCCAAATAAAAGTCTAAATTTGAAGCCCTTCGACGGTACTGTAGTATATGGTGACGTCTCTATATGAGTGAAAAATTCTCAAATGGGACGTAAGACTACATACCATCAATCAGTCAATCGATTCCTCAATTTCTTGATTTCAGATTATAAAACAATTGAAATTAAACATAAAATCATCAAAAATAATGTATTAAAAGAATGATCGATTGTCTAGTGACGCCTGATCATCATCACCGTCTCCTTTACAGATGTTCCGTACATAACTGTAGGAAACCAAGGATACTGCCAAAACCCGGGAGACCATCGACCGTTAAGGAAAGTGGTGTGACAGCTGTTAAACCACCAGCCTCCTTTATGACTAGCAGCACAGTTACCTCCCCCAAGTCTGTCGTTGTCTGTGTCTGGGGTGGAGAAGTACATCCCTGACAGATCATTGTTTGAATTCCCGGTGTTATACATACTGTCACCTATGGAATTGTAATAAAAAGTCACTGAATTCAGATCATTTCATTCTTATTGCCATAAATGATGTTGGGTGCATTCCATATAGATCATTGTTAATCTGAATGATCACAATACTGTCATCTGTACAGAATGATACCGTACATTTCGGTTGTGTAATGATTACTGTCTATAACTTGTAATTGCCAATAGTCTGTATGTAAACAATACTATATCGTCGACTGCGTGGTGTAGTGGTAGAGCGTCTGCTCTAGAGTCGCGGAGTAAGGAGTTGATCCTTACGTCGCGGGTTCAAATCCCACTGTTGGACATGGGTCCTTCGGATGAGACCGTATAAACCGAGTTCCAGTGTCGCAGTAGGTGCTGGCACGAAAAAGATCCCTCAATGCTCAATGGCCCTAAGTGCCGAGCATAGGTCAAAATTTGCAGCTCTCCACCGGCAAGTGGTGGTGTCTCCAAGTGAGTGAAATGAGTAAGAGACGTTAAACAACAAAACAAATAAACAAACAAAACAATACTTTACCGGTACGGGGAGAAACAATACAAGAGGCCCAAGGGCCTTTGAGATAACGACTCTTACAAGCATAATAGAATGATAAGTATGTAATGAGACAAAACAAACTGATAGATGATGATGAGATGTTGTCAAAAAAGAGTAGAGAAAAAGGATGGCCAACGATCAACAAAAAAGTTAGTCTGATGCTTAGCAACAACCCATAAACTAGATTATTTATAGTTTGTCTGTGTGTGCCAATGCAAACTACACATTTATCACCTTCAATAAACTAAACAACACATAAACAGTAGATTTACATTTCCTTTACATTTGCCTCTATTTGTCTTTTAATAAAAATAAGTATAATACAGCAAAAGTTGTCTAATCCGGACACTATTAGTTCCAAAGAAAATGAACGGATTACAGAAAATTTCGGATTAGACAACATTTTATACAAATAAATTTACTGAAATGGACATAAAGTTAACATCGTATTAAGCAAAATTTTGGATTACACAAAATCCGGACTAGACAAGTTTCACTGTACAAGGTAATTTTAGTCTAATTTTTATTATTTTTTTAAGTTGACCTGATTATTAAAAACTATAACAAGTGCTTTTGAAAAAATAATTTTAAAAAAGGATTAATCTATTACATAATTTACAGTGATAAATTATAAATGAATAACAAATTGGAATGATTCTCTAAAAATAGAGAACACATTTCCCTACATGATGAAATAGAACCCTGCGCAACACCCTGAGATAGTAGTCAGAAATTTCATTAATCTGATAATAATATACTTTCTTTAAATTTATATTTTTCACATTATCAACAATGTAATAGTAATTATACTTCTTTACATTTATGGGATACTGTCCACCAACACCATCCACATCCATTATATTCACTTCTAATAAATAATGCAGATAAATAAACTTTTCGTCAATTATTTCTCTTTTTGATTCGATACGCAAGAGGATGTTCTGAATGCGACCATTTTTTTAAATCTATTGACAGATGGGTTGATGATGTCAAAAATGTCTGCAAAATCGTCAGAGGACTGAATTTCTAGTAAGTTGAAATTTGTGGCTCTCCACTCTAATATCCACCTTGTGTAAATGAAAACATCCTAAGAAAACTTTTGTTGTCAACAAATCATACCATTTTGGTTTTTTGATATATTGATTTTGGGTCCAAGTTGAAATACAAATTTATTGTGTCAAGAACAGCAAAAAGAGATTTTTGAAAACAATCAAGGGCAAGAAAAACATTAACAGAATACTGGGATTACTTTCATAACCCCAAAAAACTATACTAAAGTATAGTTTACTATACTTAATTATAGTGTCAAAGTTGCACTTTGATATATTAAAGGGAAAAATTTGAAACATTGATTCATTATTATAAAAACTTTGATTTACTATACTAGATACTTTGAATCTTTAATTTAATACAAGCAATTATACTTAATTTTTGTGGTATGGGAGTTCATTCTTGATAAAAATACACTTGATTGCCTTTCATGAATATCCTTTTAAATTATTCAAGAACAAATGAACTGTGTAACTATAACTGTAACTATAACAAGTTAAGGATTTCCTTTTTTCATATTTTTAAACACCTCAGCTTTTTTCAGTTATTGAGTACTCAAATTTCTCATATGCATGTTGTTTCAATCTTGGAACATATTTCCTTTGTACAATTTCTTCTTGATTACTGACAGGTAGTTCAAAGTCTGAATTTATACATAAATGCGTAGAAAGTAATTTCACATGATTCAAGACGTCTGCCATTTTTATATATTATACCTTCCCCATCTACCTTTTTAATAATTTTGTTTTAAAGAGTTCCCAGCTTCTAAATAACAAAATGTTTTATTAGTTTCTCCTTTTTTTTAATCCACTTAGCTCTTGATTTAATAAATGTTCCTGTATTTTTTTTTTATTATTTTCAAGACTTTATCTTCTTCCTCAAACTTGCTCATTACAACTTTATTACAACGCCGTACTCTGCTTGCTTCCTAGTTTGTGTGCTAGTTTGTCCTGGAACAGACAGAATATTTTCAAAGAATTAATACATTTTCATTCTATGATCAATAGAGCCCATCCTAACAGCAGAATCCCTAACACAGGAACTATGAACTTCATATTTTATCGTAACCGTGACCGGGTATGCACTTAAATTTTCTGCTGTTTTCGCAGGAGCAGAGAAAATCTTTGAGGAAATAATGCATTTTCCCTATTTGATCAGTAGAGTACCCCCCCCCCCCCCACACACACACACAAACACACACAAACTATAACCCCTGAATATAACAATGTAGGAAGATGTTGGCTTCCTTATGATAACCATGCACTTAGGAATTCTGCTAAATTCCCAGGAGCAGAAAATTAGACTTTCGAAGAATTAATGAATTTATGCTATAACGATCAATAGAGGCCTGCACAAAGATCAAAACCCTTGATCCAGGGGGCCATGAATTTCACAATTTAAGGAAAGGCACTCTTGCTTATCATGACCATGCACTTAATTTGTGTGCTACATACTCATGAGCAGAAGAATTATGAATTCTCATTATGATCAGTAAAGTACGTTCTAACACCAGAACTCCTGACCAAGTGGCCAGGAATTTCACAATGACGCAACTTTGTTCATACTAATTATGCAGTTAGTTTTTCTGCTTCATACTAAGGAGCACAGAAAAAATGCATTTTTACTCTTTGATCCATAGAGCCCCGCCCAAACAAAAGAGTCCTGACCCAAGGGTCATGAAATTCACAATTTTGATAGAAGCACCCTTCCTCATCATAACAAGTTTTTAGTTTTTCTCATAAATATCCAGTAAGAAAGGAATATTTTTTTTTAAATTAAGGCTTTTTTACAAGGTGATCAACAGCGTCCCATTCTTACAAACGCACCCATGAACCTGGGGCAATGGTTTTTACAATTTAGTAGGAGGCTCAATGCTTATTATTATAGTGTCAGCATTTTGACTGCTTGATGTCGAAGAGTAAAAAAAGGAAGATTTTTTAAGATTGCATCACATTTGATGGTTTCGGCTCCACCCATTCGGCCCCAGAGGATAGACACATGAAATTTACAATTTTTGTTCGTCTTTGGACATAGATGACAAAAACAAGATTGGTTGAAATTGGCTAAGTGTTTCAAGAGAAGGAGCTGAAAATATTAAAAAGTTTAGGACCACCACACTATGGATTGGCGAAAACAAATAGCAATAGGTTACCCGAGTACGAAAGCCCAGAAGGCTCATTCGAGATTCGAGTTTCGAAATACGAGATTCGAAATTCGAGTTTCGAGTTTCAAGATCCAAACTAACCAACCAAAAAGCGGTTTAAGATTCAATTACTCCCCTTTGCAAAGCTTTGGCCTTCTAGAAATCGTTGAATTTATTCAAACCGAAGAGGACATTCGATTATATTACAATGCAAGAAAGAGTGTTATATATATCAGAACGAAATTAGAAGAAAATATTGGGTCTTTGGTCTGCAAAATATGCTTAAATATATATTATAACTTCTTAAATATCATAAAAGATTTATATCAAAAATATCTTTAAATATCGTATTGTCAACTTTGTCTACAGGATTGATGTCATAATAATAAATATTGTTAATCGGATTCAAAAAGCAAAGGGTGGGGGCGTATTGTAGTGGATGAGAATTATTAGTGTGCAATTAAACAAGTGACTACCGATTAATAATAAAAAGTAATACTGGTTTCAAAGTGGATATAGTTTGTGACAAGGTATTAGAAAGTGGCCAGTGACTAATACGGGATTCAAAGTTAAGTGTCCATTAAAACAAGTGACTAGCGATTAATAATAATTAGTAATACAGGTTTCAAAGTAGATTTAGTTCGTGACAACGTATTAGAAAGTGACCAGTGACCAAGTTTGTGAAACCAAGAGACAACCCCATAAGTACGGATGGCTGAAATATACATGCTTAACAAAGATAATGATTTCTCTTTGTTCAGGCCCGTAGGAAATAAAAAAAAATCACTGTAAAGCCCCCCCCCCCAAAAAAAAAAAAAAAACAAAAAACAGGGGATTAGATGGTATTTTGGAAAGGACACAAGTATAAAGTTGCTATGTTTTCTATAGTATTTTATATCGGTAAAAAATGTAAGGGGAATGGGGGGGGGGGGTAGAGACATGTGCCCAGGGACCTATGGATATGTCGTTTATTACAACGGTACGCAAATGTTAGGTTATCAACATTCAGTGTCCATCTTGCGATGCATGGGCAAAATAATTATATATTCCAGGTGCGTAGCCAGAATGGAAGTGAAGTGTACGCAAAGAACAACAGGGAGTCGGGGGTTAGGTTCCACTATGATTTTAAAAAATATATGCTACAACAAAAAGTGAGGGGGGGGGCATGCAACCACCCTTTCAATGAACATTTTCAATAGTAAAAGGTTGATTTTGAAATAAGTGGAGGGGGCATCCCCTGGCTCCCCTGATACTGCGTACATGGTGAGGGTCCAGAAGCTCCTGAGTTTTACGAAATATTTCATTCATTTTCTTGCAAAATAAAAATTATGACATTTAACTTCTGTTTAAAAAAAATAAAGGACATAGTAATGTTTAAATATTTATTCTTTTAATGCAAAGTTAATACTTCCAATGAAACTTATTCTACATGAAGTTTGAATTAAATAATTAACCGATATATTGGTATCATCTACTCTTGTTAAACGTTCAAAACATATACAGTATACCAACTGTTAATTATATTAACAAAAATATTGTATTTTAATTCATATTCTAGTAGATCATAGCATTCAACAATGTTTTGAAATTTAATTTTTGCACACATCTTTAAAAAAATCAATGTATTAACAATTTCAAATTAATGAATGATTTATTTGGATTTAATTGGCAATGGTTTAATAAAGGATTTCAAATTTTATTATACAGTCATGATAATATAAAATTCAAATAAACACAGTATATGCATAACACAAAATAATTTGAAACACGAATATTTGTTGGATGGTTACAGGTACTGAGATTTTTTCCTCGAATACCTCTCTCTATTTGTGTATAGGTAGCTACGCGCCTGTATTCGATAATTATTTATAAGGAAACCGCTCGGGTCTCGCAAGATACATAACTAATAAATACACAAGTTTCAATACATGATGTAATGGCCATCAAGAAAAAAAGATATAAAAGTATTTAATAATGATAAGAATTAATAATCTTTACAAACCAATGGATCCTCTATAAACCTTATGGACTTTGAAAAAAAAAATCAAAAATAGTATAGCCTAAAGGAGTGCGTAATAAAATTACTTAGTTCATGTATCTTTTTAGTGTACACAGAAAATCTTGAAAGACAGTGTAGTAGTGATAAAGAAAAATCGCGCTCGCTTTCCCAGTGGTGTATATTCCATATAGGCAAAAAGGCTGTAGCCTACACATCATTTTCTTGATGTAAAAAGAAATATTTATTTATACATATTTTGGTTGAAAAATGGGGGAAAGTTGATCATAAGTCTTATTTATTTACCAGTTACTAGAATACTTTTTCATCAAATGCAATAAAAGTATTTTTAGCAATCCACACTTTTATGCCTATCCAATTTTTACAGTTTACAAAACTTTTTATTTTTTTATAGCTGGTTAAATCTAAAATTGAAATGTTACCTTAAAGTCGATATCAGACTATCAAAAAAAAAAAAAAACAAAAAAACAAAAAAACAAAAAAAAAAAAACAAAAAAAAACAGGAGTCTACGATTAGGACAGGGAATAGAAATTAGGAAGTATGTTTGGGTTAGTAGGAAGTCAAACAAAACATTTTAAAAATTATATTGAGATTATTCAGTACAGAAGTTTCCATAATTTCCAAGCACGTGTAAGGATTTTAAAATTTCTCAACTGGTCATGAAGATTTTAATTTCTGTATCATAAAAATATATATTTAAATGATTTATAATTATATTCACTGGAAGATTTTAATTTCTGTATCATAAAAATATGTTTAAATGATTTATAATTATATTCACTGGAAAAATGACAATGATAGATCTCCAAGATCGCAGAAAGTGGTACTCCGACCCCCCGACCCCTCTCTATTGAGAGGGGGCAACTCCCTCCTTGCCTATCCGCAATTCGCCAATGATGCGCTTTAGGTGAAATCTGTGAGTTCTTATACTACTTATATTGATCTAAGGCTTTGAATACTTGAATTAATTAAAAAATATATATACAATAGAGACTGGAATTTATTTCATTCCATATCAAATAGTATATCAGTCTAACTACACTAATGCACCCTTAAATGTAATAAAATGTATCCTTAATGAAATTACTGTGCAGTTAAAAGAAGATCCCTAGGCTAGTATTTCATACCAGTAATAATTTTCTCCCTCATCCATGGACTTATTAAATAATTTATCGACCTACTAATATCGTAATTCAACGATAAGACCATATAATATTCTATATATGTATCTATTGTTTTATTTAATGAGGAAAATAAGATTTATATATATTTTTCAAAACATTACCCAAAATTCATTTTTATTTTGTATTTAATATATATAACATTTTTTCTTGCATTACTATTTAAGCAAATGACTCATTTGTGATAAATATATTCAGTGATTTCCAGATAGTAAAAACTTTAATAAAGGGGAGTAATCAAAAATTGAATCCGCCTTTTGATTTGTTAGTTTTGATCTTGAATCTCGAAACTCGAATTTCGAATCTCGAGTTTTGAATCTCGTATTTCGAAACTCGATTCTCGAATGAGCCTTCTGGGCTTTCGTACCCGAGAGACTCAGGTGATCTAAAAATACACATACTTATACTTGTATATAATATGTTGTATAAGCTATCTATTTCAACAATTATCACAAAGGGCACAGTTTTAAAATACAACTTATGTACACAAGGGCGTAGTATGAAGTATGAAGCGTAGTATGGCGAGGTGGGGTGAGGAAGGAGTTTAGTCAAATATTAAATATTTTTCTGATGTTAAGGGCGAATTGCCATTATAAAAAAAATGCATGTATGTTTTAAATGGTAAAATTCAAAATTGACACACCGAGAAAAACCATTGTCAGCCGATCGCAATGCATCGGTGAATATTGACAGTTGTTTTTTTTAATGTTGTTTTCTCAACATTTCCCCTCCAAAACATCCATTCTTTATTTTATTGTGCTGAAAGTCCGATTGAAAAGCCTGCGTAACAGAGACGGGAATAGCTTAACATTTCAATGGTACACAGACAGTCCCTTTCTCTCATATATATACATTTTTTTTTTTATTGATTTGAAACCAATCCTACGAAAACCAGGCTTTAATTACTCGGTTTATTTTAAAATGAACAAGTGACGTGTTGAGAAATTAATGGCGAACAGCACTTGCATAAATTAGACATGTGACATTATCGTTAAAAAGCAGTCGCTGAACTTGTGGCTGATGCTGGATATTATATAAATATTGCATTTAGTTGAGGATAGCTCTGCTGCGCCTTATTTGACAATTATTTTCTTTGAATAAAAAAAAAAATCAATGTTACCCTCTATAACATGAAATACTTCCTGATATATTATTTTATTCCAAATGTTTCATAAAGATACATGAAAGGGTAAACAGTAAATTCTGCACAGTCAACACTTTTGGAATGTCACCAGAGGTAAACTAATATCGACGCTAAGGGTGTGGTTTCATAATTCAGAGGATGATTAACAGCGATGCAGATTCAACTAAATTACATGAATGTTAAATTAATACTTGGTGAATTAATCTTAGCCAATCGGATATCAGTATTTTACGGGAACGCATATAAACCATATTAATATTTTTGGCAACTACTCAACAAACGTTTGTGAGTCAGTTTTTAAAATATTGCTATCTGTGAAGTGGTGTATATTTGACATCTTTCTGTCTCTCGCTATTTCTTGTGTTTTTTAATGTTTAAAAAGACTCTTTCTACGTATGACATACCTAAGGTACCTGTAGCCCCTCTCTCTCTCTCTCTCTCTCTCTCTCTCTCTCTCTCTGTGTGTGTGTGTGTGTGTGTGTGTGTGTGTGTGTGCGTGTGTGTGCGTATGACGTACCTAAGGTACCCGTAGCCGGTCCCGCCAGAAAGAGCTGATACTTGTCTGCTTCACTAGAAATGGAGAATTTATCGTACAACTCATACAGCCTGTTATCATTCACTAGTGTGATGGATATATAAAGTGATGAGTCCCCATCTTTTGTTAGATGATGGATTACGTCATTTCCTGTTTTCAAAATCAATTGATTATGATATTGCAACACAACAAAGCTATATAAATTAATTTGCTTACTTCAGTACTTCTAAATGTTTTTCGGTTTATCTTCGTCATTTTAGAAAACAGAGTATGGATGAAATTCATTTTCTTTCCGTATCACTTGTCATTTACCAATGAATATATTTATCGTGATATTCATTAACAAACACTCAATACATATTGCATTATGCATAATATCCGGTCTTAAAGTTAGACCTTTGATTCGCTACCAAATCTTATTCTAAACGGGTTGAAGGTTTATATTTACCGATCCAGACGTCCTGTTCCGGTGAGCCAAAATCATTCTTATATTCATCCCAGTTCTTTTCAAAGCTCAACGACCCATTCATACGTTTCTGAATTGCCTTGGAAAGATATACCTATATATTAATCTATCATTTTTGTCTCGAAAATTTGCACTCTCATTTTGAAATATATCACTACCAAATCAATGCTTTGGACAACAAAACCTTTGGTTCTTAATTAAATGTTATACACATTTTTTATATAAAAAATATATACTGTCCATCCTCCATCCATTGTCTCCATGTCGCAGTAAACTCTGACAGCATAGGAGTTGGTTCCATTTAAATAAATTTCGAACACACCTGTATTACTATGACCATTATCGCGAAGATCCTTACAATTTTCAGGTAAAACTGAAACAGAACATATTTACATTCACTGAATTTTTTCTCCTTTATTTCTTAAGAAAACTGTTGTCGTTTATCAATCAGTTAATACCCCTAAGCATATCACCTGTACAGATTTCCTTAGGAATGACTCTTCCATCAATGGAACATACAACTTCGTACATATCAATACTACAATATTTAATCTACTTAATCCTACTTTAGGTAATTATTTGTACAGATATAAATATAAACAATAAACAATAAGTTTTCTTTGTTTTATTACGGGAATTGAAGTTGCATCTATTCTAGAAAAAAATTACATAACCCGCTAATGTTTTTTTTCGGCAGCAGCCGCAACATTAATTCCCACATTAACAACAAAAGAAAGCATTTTATTGTTTAAAAAACAATGTATGTTTTTGTCTTTCTCCGCGCGCGCGAAAAGTGACACAACAAAGCATACATACAAACACCAGAATAGTATCTCCATCCGGAATCGTCTGACAGACCGGAAGTGAAGATCTTCTGGTGGACACGGCACTTCATCAAATTAGGATTAAATCCAAAGAGGCCACACTCACTTTGACACATGAGCGCACACTCAGTCAATGTTTGAGCTTTGAATTCTCCTAAAAGTTCGTCATTTGAAATTTTATTATCAAATTTCAGTTGTACGGTGTATTTCAGAGAAGCATTGATAGCTTGGGAAACCGTAAAATAAAGAACAATAAAACTAATAACCCCGTGACTGTTCATGTTGTACTGTGTGTTGATTACCACCTGGTTTGTTCTTAAAACAAACACATATTGATATTTCAGCTTTCAAGCATAATTGTTAGAGACTTTATACGTTACGGAAAAAATGATTGGCTGGTTGTTACAGACTCTCTTTTTACTTATACTGCAATATCGATTTTGTAAAGAAAAAGGGGTAGATTCTTTGGATGGTGAGGAAATCTTATACAAAGCTTGACATCAAAATGAATATTTGTGGATTATCTGTCATATATCGTGGTAAGCTTAAAAAATGTTGAATTCTTAAGAGACCAAATGTAATCAATATTTTTTTCCCTTATGGTTTACTTAATGGTTTCTAGAAATAGTAAGCAAAGAGGCGCTTCAAAAGCTTTTTATATTTATTTTAACCAAAGCTTAAAAATGATGACAAAAGTTGCCACACAAGAACACTTCAAATTATACATATTATGTGTATCTGATTCTGACGTTGGTGAAGAAATTTGATATAAACAATTCTTATAGAATTGTGTGTAACATTTTAGAAACGCTGCACAAGTCCCTTACACGTATATCTAATTCTGCCAATCGTTTCTGGGGTTAAAGATAATTTTGTACACTTTTCCTATGCATGTCATACTTCTAAATATCAGTAAGCAATACATTATAAGAATGTACCCAAAACAATCATATACTTTAACATCACTTTTTTATTTTCTTAAAATTTACAGTACAAATTCCAGAACCAATCAGATAAACAGATCATTAAAATGAACCCCAAATGTACATCAGGTCATCTCGTTTGGCATGGCACCGAGGGGGAGCCAAAGAACACACCAAGCAAACACCAATTTCAGAAGCGGAAGCAGGAAGCAAACGCGGAGTTCCCTATTACTATGAAAACAAATACACTCAATGACATGTATTCGCTCATAGTGATATATTAAATATTACTCATTTGGTTTAACTACCTTTGTTACTCTTCTGATAAATTTTAAATTTGTTGCCATTGGTTACCTGCAAATTTATTTTGTTAAAAAAAGTATGATTCTACACACAAGTACTCCGAAGTTGATATGAGAAAGATGATGGAATTTCTCATTTACAATATATATGCAATCCTTAAAAACCAGATTGCCCAACAATCTGTTCGAATTCCCATGAGAACTCACCTGTTTTTGTATTCATATGAAGTAAAATTTATACACAAAATTCTACATGAAAAGAAGTATATTGTTGTGGACGTCTATACGTCATTTACATATATTATATACCGATATTTGCTCTGTTAAATAATTTTATTGTCTTAGATTGTAAGAATTAATATTTTCTTACTTTTAAAGAAAGAATATGAAATTCAGGGTATATATGAATAATACACGTTTCTATTATTCAATCATTAGTAATGAATAAGAACATGGATGCACGTGCGCTAATTTCTGATTTGATAATATTTATGTTTCTGTATCTTTCAACGTTTTCATTGAAATTCTTTGAAATCTAAATAGAGTCATTTTAAAATACATTTATATGGCCATTCTATGAGAATGCACACAGGTGTATTTAAGTCTGATTCGCTTATGCTAATTGTACTATATGTGTAATGTTTTCCCCCAAACACTTGGGAAAAATAAATTGTGAAAGTCTATAATACAAAGATTCTGCTTTACTAAATAAACCTTAGTGAGGATGAGGCCCCAAAGAGAGTAAGGGATGCGTTTGGTGAACATCTTTAAAGGTGTACCTTACCATTTAACCTAGTTTTTCTTGAAGTTTAAGCGTTTTACGGGTCATAATTTTTTTTTATCTCATTTGCAAGCCCTATTACAAAATAACATGTTGGCAATTGGTTGTACGGTTTGGGTACGTTTAAGCAAGTTAATATAAATATTTATCAGCAAGAATGCACAGTATCAGTAATGATCATAAACATCAGTAAAATAAGGGAATCTCAGCACGTTTTTTCGTCTAGCAGTGAAGAAAAGAAAAGGAATATCAAATTTATAATTTTTACATGATATAGTTTTTTCCCAGATTAAGCCAGGATTTTGGTCATGTAGTACTAATAAAATGCAAATGTTTACAATAAATGACAAAGCTGGAGATTAAAAAAAGAAAAAAAAGTGGGCAATCTCAATCAAAAAAAAAGTAAGCAGGGTATAAACACTGATTAGGTTCCTAGGAGGAATAAACATCCGTGTCTATCTATCAAGTAGATGGAATACTCCTTTGTCAAATTTTGCTTAAAAGCAACGAGCAATTAATTGATATGAAATATGTCAGTAAGAGTGCTAAACAATAATAGTTTTTGTATTCAAATAGAATCATTATAAGGGCCATAGAATTTAAAAAGTACTGACTTTAACGATGTTGTTGAATTTCATATAACATCAACTTATTTGCTTGATGTCTGTCTCGGTTAAAAATGCATCTTACTCAGAGCATTCTCTTGAATATCAAATAAGTTGGGAGACATAAACACCATATATAGAATCTACATAATTAATGGAAATTCCGTTTACCATACAATTTAATGTTAGTTGTCTTTTATCATTTATAAGCAATAATACAGCCAAAGAACTGGGTACAGTAAGCCCAATAATCGGCCCTGTAAAATCGGCAAAAATTAAACGCAGGTTTACATTTTATCAAATGTATCAAGTTACTGTTGGGGTTACTCTGTGTGTGAAATTGGTAACAATTTTTTCTCAACTCAAGCGCCCTCTCATTTATATAACGTTCACAAACCGGTCTTACATTCCGGAATTTCCTTATTTTGGACGTGTTCCTCCTCTTCAAATCTATATTTCGATATGGCCGCATCCGAGTATGTATGCGAAACTTCACAGAAAGAACAAATATAACTCGATTTCTTATATTAAAGAGAAAAAATGACCTTACAAAAGTGCGGCCACATCCGTCTTTACAAAAAAATGCAGTTGAAAATGCTGCATTTTTGGATAGACGTCACTTTTTCTCCATAATAAATTTTTTAAAGAAGTTAATTGTTTAATTCCATATCTGATTTTATTAGCTTTTTATTGGACGTAACATGTAAATTAATGACGCAATGCATTGAAAAATGACGTCACAAAGAGCAATCGTAGAAAATATGTATTTTAAACAAATTCTTCAGTCTTTGCAACTTTGATAAATATTCACTCAATATTTACAGTGTAGAAAAAGTAATGACGACATAATTTGGGATGGTTCAGGCGATTAGTTTACATTTAAAGCAATATGAGCTGCAACTTTGATGTCGGAGATTTTTGTTGCAATATAATATTGTAATTAACTATTTCAATTACAGAAAAAAAGAATGCTTATTAACTTCTGTTGTTTATATTTGTGATGGAAGAACTATTTTTAAGCTTTGTTTAAAGCAAAGCTACATTATTGTCGTCCTGTACAATACTGATTTCTTATTTAATACTGCTGAAAAAAAATCATACTTTATTTTAGTCTAATTGATTATAAAGAATTAAATTACACACAGAATTATCATAACAGCACATTTTAAAAGCAAAATAAAATTCTCAAAAATGCAGCTCATATTGCTTTAATTACATATGTGCCTCCAATTAAAACGCGTGTCTCCTTCATAGTGGACATTGGCTTTATTTGACTGTTCAAGAAAAGAATGATTTTTTTTACCTTTTTATCGAAAATCATCAGCTTTCTTAAGTATATTTTATTCGTTTTCAATTTATATATGTCTGGGATTCATAAATATTAAAATGAAGACAATAGCTAGTGATCGGGGCGGGAAAGGGAGGGGGGCTAGATGGGAGGCTTAGCGTATAGCAGTCACTATTTGAACATTTTTTTCAAACTTGTTATCCTTGTCGCTGTATTGTCGCAGATTTTATTTGACAAAATTAATTTTGTCAGAAAGAATTCTAATGTTTTATCGCTTAATCAGGAAGTGTTTTATATATGACTAAACACTTTTAAATCTTCCACTGCCGACCTACATTTACTTATTGGAGGTCTGCAGCTGGGAATGGAAAAGTTCTTATTTACACATACATTTATCATGCTGATCGGAACATTGACATCAGTGTTTTCAAGTAAATTCGGGTTTAATTTATAATTTACAAGAAAATTTAGATAAGGAAAAAAATTAATTATGTTGACAAACCAAGTTTATAAGGCTTATAAACCTATACAGTGGTGTAC